TATATTTTGTAATTTTTGAATCTGTAGCTTTAAAAATTCCAATGTCTTTATATATAAAACATAACGCGCCTAGGCATTAATTAATTTTTGTTTGCAAGTAGCGTTTGCGACCAAGTTGTGGTTTTAACACGCAGGCTATGGTCCCTTGCGGTCACCCTGTAGTGTTATTGAGATAGATACATCATGTCTATTTCATACCAGAACGTTTGGCCATTTATTTTAAAATGAAATCTGTTACAGGAGATTTATTTTGTTTTGTTTAGTTAACGTATAATAGTACACATCGCTTGCTGTCGTTTTTAAAATTACGTTTTATTTTTAAGTAGGCCAGTTTTTGTTCTAGTTGATTAATTAAGGCTAAAGTACACACGCGTTGATAAAGTCTGTGACAACCGATGTTTTGTCGTGTATGTAGTAGGTTGTCTACCATGTAAACATATTTTATACTGATTCAGTCGATATAGACTACCGTGGCTTATAGTGGGTCGCTGCGTCAATTATAGTTAGTAAGTTTGACACAAAAGTTCTAGCTACATTGCATAATTTATATTGGGCAGTCATTTTTATTATCTATATTAGACAAATCAAAGAACGACGGGGTATAATTCCAGAACACATACTTGCTAACCCGAGAAGCAGTTCCAAGAGCCTGTGCGCCCCCCCCCCCCTGCTGCGGTCACTTCTAAACAGGACAAAGTATTCCTGATAAAATAATATGGAGTTTGAAAGGACGTCTTGTATCTGATAGGAAAGACCAGCTGTTCGAGCATGCTATATCAGTACATGTTAGTAGGCCCGAGATGAACTAGGAAGCTTTATATCTGGTGTAGAATTATAATATATTATTTCACGTTATTTCTATAATCGCTTTAAAAAATATCAATTATTGATAACATATTTAAAATATTATCAAAATGAGCGCATTTCACTAAACCCAAGATGTTTAATTATACGTTAAGATATTTTATCAATCTTAATGAATAAAAATATAATTCCTTGGGTTCTAGTTTAACCCACGAATGCCAACATCACACCATCACCGCCTAGACTTCACGACAGCGTGTCAGGATACACATTCATTACACCAACGGTCAATGCGATTTGACCAGCACATTGTCCAGTGTCCACTACACATTCATTACACCAACGGTCAATGCGATTTGACCAGCACATTGTCTAGTGTCCACTACACAACCATTACACCAACCGTCAATCCGATTCGACCTGCCAATTGTTCAGTGTCCACTACACATCCATTACACCAAGCGTCAATCCGATTCGACCTGCCCATTGTCCAGTGTCCACTACACATCCATTACACCAACCGTCAATCCGATTCGACCTGCCCATTGTCCAGTGTCCACTACACATCCATTACACCAACCGTCAATCCGATTCGACCTGCCCATTGTCCAGTGTCCACTACACATCCATTACACCAACCGTCAATCCGATTCGACCTGCCCATTGTCCAGTGTCCACTACACATCCATTACACCAACCGTCAATCCGATTCGACCTGCCCATTGTCCAGTGTCCACTACACATCCATTACACCAACCGTCAATCCGATTCGACCTGCCCATTGTCCAGTGTCCACTACACATCCATTACACCAACCGTCAATCCGATTTGACCAGCCCATTGTCCAGTGTCCACTACACATCCAATACACCAACCGTCAATCCAATTCGACCAGCCCATTGTCCAGTGTCCACTACACATCCATTACACCAACCGTCAATGCGATTTGACCAGCCCATTGTCCAGTGTCCACCACCCGCCCTACACTACACGCCGTGCTCAGTGTGTATGAAAACTTTGACCCGTTTGCCTTCAAGAAGTGTGCTGACCTGTGAAGAGGTACTATCTAGCAAAGACCGTATCAAGTAGGTCAGGCTTGTTAATGGGAATAAATTGCTTGTATGGACATCAAACTTTAGAGTACATCAAATTTTCACATATCAACACGGTGTGTCGCGTTGGTGGTATACAATAGGAATTAGCTTGTGTATTTCTTATCAAAACTAAAACGGATTATACAATGATGTTTTATACTATAAAGTTTTTAAGTTGAAAACAGGAAACAATCAATAAAAGGCATGGACTATTTATGTGACTTTTATAAATTGTATTGTGTATGATACACTATTTATAAAACTGCAATGGTATTGGTAGTCAATGGTTTAAATAACGATTTTAATTTTTCTAAAATCATACGTTTCGGTGAAGAGGAGTAGCCTCCGAGTAGCTGTTTATTTCTTTAGATTTAGTGCATCAAATGTAAGTAGTAACGTTTTTGCTATATATTGATTTTAATAACAATATTTTTACGTTTGATGAAAAATTATATTTTGTAAAGCTTTTATTGTATGATATTTTATATAGTAAGTAGTCTTTAGTCTATTTTCTGCTGTAAGATGTCATAAGTCTGATGTAGTGTTCAACAACAATTTGTCTTTAATTTCATGTATTGTTCAGTAGTAGGCTAAAGATAGGCCTACCGTTGTTTTTAAATTATAAAAATAAACGCGTCTGATAGTCTGAAAACTACGTGACCTTTGGGTGTGGGGAAATTGCGAGACGCGAAAAGCGAAATGGCGAGGCGGGAAAATGCGAGAAGGTAATGCGAGACATACCTGCGGAATTAAGGGTAAATAGCGAGACACTTTTTGCGAAAAAAGTTTTTTTCTTTTTTTTCCATCTTTATTTATTTAAATTATTTTTTTTTGTTTTAAAATAAAGAAGCATTTAGCCATACCCTTTAACACGAGCGTTGTATGTTGTTATTTTTTATCTAGATACTAAGTAGATAGATAGATCTATATCTAGATCTATCTATTTAGAAATCCTAACATCGTTGCTGTGCTACTGTCATCGCCCGCTCTTGTTAGCGAGAGGAAAATCCCGTCTCAGTCGGCATTAATTTAAAAATCTAGCCCGCTCATGTTTATACAAACGTGAGCTGTGTCATTGTGAATTGGTATAATCTTGTCAGCAGGAGAGATATTTTGCAACATATATTTATGGATTTTTGTACTTGCAAAAAGTGTAAAAGTATTAACAATTCTAAAAAGTGCAATTTTTTTTTATTAAGTAATTTTAATTACAAACAAAATTTACAAACAAAATCTTCTGAAACAGTCCTCAAACACACCTCGTGACACCATCTTTCACACATAGTACACCCAACCCAGTTCATTAGATTCCCATTTATACATTTTTCTTTTGCTACTTCTTCCAATCCACATTCACAACAATTCACATTCTCATCACAGTTGACCTCGTTCATCCCACAAACAACACTGGCACCCATGTTCTCATCATCATCATCCGCACGCTCAACATCTGTTTTCCGTTTTTTATAATTTGTATTTTTTATCATTTCTGTAATTTTGGCAATGTCTTGCTCATTGTTGTCACCAGCAGTTGAGTTTTTTTTTAAACATCGATATTTTCCCAAAATCTTGTCTAATTTCGGTCAAAATAGAGTATTTTAATCAATTCCTATTACAATTAATACAATGTATTAAAACAGTTTTCTAAAACGCGAAAAAACGTCTAAAATTCTTTTTCTAACATTGCTTTTTTATAGTGTGACTTCACATCTAACCCCCCCCCCCCCCCTCCTCCCCCTCAACACACATCGTCATAAAATTACAGACACCCCCCCCCCCCCCTACGAGTGTGACGTCATTTATGGAAGACCCCAAATAACACCACCACCAAAACCAAAAAATTCAGATAAGTTCAACTTGGTTTTAAAAATATTTGAAGTAGGCCCATAGCTTACGATATAGCACGAGCAACTGATAATATCGGTGACGTCACTTTATTATGTTGTATCCAAATGATGTCGGCATTTCCTTGTGCTTAGATTTATATGGTAAAAAAAGCTAGAAAAAAATCGTAGGCGGCGGCTATAATACAAAATTTCTATGCAACAATAGAAAATATGTTTGCGGCGGCAGCGGATTCGGGCACTGTGATCTTCAAAGCCGGTAAATCAGGCGGCCTCGGCGTTCCACACAAAAGACAGAAGTTGATCTATCGTCGGCGGTATTTCCGTCGGTTTCGAACAAGGTGGTATTCTAAGTCGACACAAAAGATGGGGGGAGGACAAATCATCAGTACGTCTAGCGACGGAAAAATCGGAAGTTTTAACAATGTAAACGAAACGTCTTTGAAGTCTAGACCAAATACCACTGAAAATCGGGTGCGGTAAATTTTTCGCATTTCAACACCACCCAGCGTAAGTATCGGCTGGTGGTAAAATGCGAGACAAAAAGTCACGTGACCGGCCGTTTTCGCGCCCTTCTCGCATTTTCCCGTCTCGCCATTTCGCATTTCGCGTCTCGCAATTTCCCCACACCCGTGACCTTTGGTGTGATACTTTAAAAGTCAGATATTCACTAGGCTAACACTTTATAATCTATGTTGTTTTAGGCAGATATTTTGCTCAATAAGTAGCAGGTTGTCTTTAATCTGATACTTTGAAAACCATTTTATCTTTAGACAATTACTTAAAAACTATGTCGTTTATAGTCTATTTTGTACAGTAAGTTGTATTTAACCTGATACTTTGTAGAGTGTATTGTATTTCTTGTGATGTTTTGTATAGTATTTTGATTCTAATCATCATGTTTTTTATAGTAAGGTGTTTGTAATCTGATATTTTGTACAATAAGTTGTCTTCAATCAGCTGTTTTGTAAAGTAAGTTTTATATAATCAGCTGTTTTCTAAAGTAAGTTATATTTAACCTGATTTTTTGTAAAGTAAGTTGTTTTTAATCTGATGTTATGTACAGTAAGTTGTATTTGACCAGATACTTTGTAGAGTATGTTGTCTTTGATCAGATGTTTTGTACAGTAAGTTTTTCTATAATCAGATTTTTTAGCAGTAAGTTGTCTTAAATCAGATGTTTTGTAAAGTAAATTGTCTTTAACCTGATACTTTGAAAACCATGTGATCTTCAGACTGATGATATAAAAACAAAACCATGGGGAAGATTGTGGCAGAGAAAGAAAGAACCAAATTTGGCGTGCACGTGTTGGTCGTTCTGTTTGGGATTACGTCATGGTCCATCATGAACGGCCTGTGGGTGGAGCTGCCGATCCTTGTGGCCGATCTACCCGAGGGCTGGACCCTGCCCTCCTACCTGACCATCATCTCACAGGTAAAGTCTTTGGATGTGTTGAGCATTGAATGTTTATCCCACAAAACACTGTAGTAGTTAACACCGCCTCCTCCACACCAAGCACTTCTACTTCCTCTGCTCCGAACGATATATATGTTTAAAAGAAAATATATCAGTACTTTTACCAGTGTCCACTCCTATTCCCCCCTTTGGAAAATTTAGTCTGTTTCTGCAGAGGCGTAGCGACCCTACCCGGCGCCCGGGGACAAACTTTCGATTTGCACGCCCCTTTGTAACTTTTCATTTGCACCCCCCCCCCCCTCAAACTTTCGATTTGCACCCCCCTCGAACTTTTCATTTACATCCCCCCTCAAATTTTCAATTTGGCGCCCCCCTAAGGTCGGCGCCAGGGGACATATGTCCCCCCGCCCCCCCCCCCTCGCTACGCCTCTGCGTTTCTGTAGACTTACTGTCTTTAAATCACAATGCAAAGTTATATTTTTAACTATTGTGGGGTTGGCGTGTTTAGAGGCGTTAACTCTATGGTTGCTAAACCGAAAAGTCCCGAGTTCTGTTGATTTGTAGTTGTAGTTGTTCTTTTATGGGCAAAAGTTCTGGAAGCAATTCCAAATGGGAAAGCAGGCTGAAATCAAAATTGATATGGAAATACTTAATTGTGTTAACAATTAAGAACGAAGAAGTACCTTATACCATTAATATCATAATCCCATCCTTTGTTTCATAAAATGGTGTGGACGACTTTTAAGAACAACCGTTTCGATATCCAGCAAATAATTTGAGATATTCTGCACTTGTAAAACTCTTAGATCTAGTTGGGTTTTTAAAACTGAGTTAGTTATTTGATTCTACTAGTTTAGCCATCTCCAACGATTATAAATATTGCTTTGAAATTCACATTTGTAAATAACTTTAAACCACGAATAATTGTTACCAGTGCTTTTTTGTGACGGTTCGCACCGGTACGGCTTACCGTCACCTTTTTTAATATAGGGGAAAAATTATTACTTTTCTTGTATTTTAACGTTTATTATTTATTTATTTTATTATTAATTTGTTTAAATTGTTTTTTTTAATTGCGTGCAATAAGAATTAAAATCGAGGTGCAAACTGGTAGTAAAAAGTTTAAAAATCACCGATTGTTACATTTTTTAACCTACCAGTGCGGCAACCTTGGCCCGATCCTGTTCAGTCTGCTGGTGTACCTGGTGCCACACCGGAAGTTCGAGACGCCCACGTCACTTCTGGTCAACCTGGCACTGACTCTGTGTGCGGCACTCTACGCCCTCTTCTGGAACCGGACAGCCGTTGTTGCCGGCAGTGACCACAGGTGATGTTTCTTATACACGACTCTGGGGTGTGTAACTTAGTTATTACCCCAGCCATTACACATCGTCATTATCCCCGGATAAATTATCCCCTGTTATTATATTGCTCCCTAGTCTAGTAGACCATCGGAAGATTGCGCATAGAAAAATCCAAGCACAAAGCCAGAACACTATGTTGAGAAGAGCCAGATGTTGTCCATGTATAAGTTCCCATCTCTCCACAAAAATTATAGACCCAAGGAAGAGGGCTTTACCTGTACAGCTTTGAACCAGCAGTGTCGCAGGAGTTTGATTTCGGAGTTTTCTCACCTTCATGGATTGCTGCCCCCAGTTGACGAGCCTCATCTGCCCCAGCCCTTGTAATTACCCCATTAGTAATGGGCCCGGGGTGTAATGTCCTACAATAGATTTCTAACGCAAATAATGTACAGGTAATTACAACAAATTAAGTGGTTAGTGATAGTGGCGATGCGGTTACAACTGATGAGGGAGTTTACATGTGTGCTTTTGGAACGGTGGGTTTAAACACAGCGTTTGACTAGCTTAGGAACAATGCTTTAGCCTCTCATAATGTCATCAGTGTCTTCAAACTTCGCAGAATGTCAACTTTGTATTTAACTTCCAATTATGCCATGCATCATCAAACTTCATTATGTCTCATGTGTTAAAAAAATTCCTATATTATAATGTGTAATCAATTTTCAAATAATATCATCAGAGTTGTCAATTTTATAATATCATATGTTCCATCTAACATTCCTAAATGTCATCTATGTTATCTAACTTCCCATGATGTTATCATTTATCTTATGTCAACTATGTCATCTAACATCCCTAAATGTCATCTATGTTATTTAATTTCCCATCATATCATCTGTCATCATTTACCTTATGTCATCTAACATCCTTAATGTCATGTTCCATCTAACATCCCACAATGTCATATGCCATCATTTATCTTATGTCATCTAACATCCCTAAATGTCATATACCTTATGCCATCTAACATCCCTAAATGTCATATGCAATCTAACATCCCATAATGTCATGTGTCATCTCACATCCATAAATGCCATCTAACATCCCTAAATGTCATATGCCATATAACATCCCATCTATCACCAGCGTGGCACTGTTAAGCCTGACCCTATGCCAGGCCATATTTGCCGCCACTACCTCCATGTGCTACCTGGCTTTTATGGCTCACCTCAAGGCCTACTACATGGGCAGCATCTTCATCGGCATGAGCCTCAGTGGCCTGATTCCAGCCCTGGCGGCCGTCGGTCAGGGATCTGGTGACGTCAGGTAAGTTCTGGAACAGTTAGTGTGACGTTTTGAGATGGGGTATCTTTCTTATTATTCGTTCTTAATTCTAGGGTTGAAAGGGATTTCTTCTAATAAAGTATTTCGTGTCAACTTGTTATGCGCCATATAATATAAGTCGTTGACTCTGATTTCAGCCTGCTTTTATTTAAGTTCTGGAACAGTTAGTGTGACGTTTTTCAAATGGGGTATCTTTTTTATTCTTCGTTTGTAATTCTAGTGTTGGAAGGGATTCCCTCCAAAACAATTAAGTATTACGTGTCAACAGGTTATGTGCCATATAGGCCGTTGACTCCATTTTCAGCTTGCTTTTACTTTTTTGGATTTGCTTCCATAGCCTTTGTCCAACCTAGATCAAACAGCATAATATATATGAATGGCGCAGTATTTTCGTTTAAGCATAGCCCTTCTTACGGCTCGAGTGGTTTGGGGGTTAAGATAAAATAAAACTCAGTAATCAGAACCTGAATCTTTTTACAGTAAGCGTAGGTCTATAAACTGAATCTATTTACAGTAAGCGTAGGTCTATAAACTGAATCTATTTACAGTAAACGTAGGTTTATAAACTGAATCTATTTAATGTAAGCGTAGGTCTATAAACTGAATCTATTTACAGTAAGCGTAGGTCTATAAACTGAATCTATTTACAGTAAGCGTAGGTCTATAAACTGAATCTATTTACAGTAAGCGTAGGTCTATAAACAGAATCTATTTACAGTAAGCGTAGGTCTATAAACTGAATCTATTTACAGTAAGCGTAGGTCTATAAACTGAATCTATTTACAGAAAGCGTAGGTCTATAAACTGAATCTATTTACAGTAAGTCTAGGTCTATAATCTGAATCTATTTACAGTAAGCCTAGGTCTATAAACTGAATCTATTTACAGTAAGCGTAGGTCTATAAACTGAATCTATTTACAGTAAGCGTAGGTCTATAAACAGAATCTATTTACAGTAAGCGTAGGTCTATAAACTGAATCTATTTACAGTAAGCCTAGGTCTATAAACTGAATCTATTTACAGTAAGCCTAAGTCTATAAACTGAATCTATTTACAGTAAGAGTAGGTCTATAAACTGAATCTATTTACAGTAAGCGTAGGTCTATAAACTGAATCTATTTACAGTAAGCCTAAGTCTATAAACTGAATCTATTTACAGTAAGAGTAGGTCTATAAACTGAATCTATTTACAGTATGCGTAGGTCTATAAACTGAATCTATTTACAGTAAGCATAGGTCTATAAACTGAATCTATTTACAGTAAGCTTAGGTCTATAAACTGAATCTATTTACAGTAAGTGTAGGTATATAAACTAAATCTATTTACAGTAAGCCTAGGTATATAAACTGAACCTATTTACAGTAAGCCTAGGTATATAAACTGAATCTATTTACACTAAACACATATCTAAAATATTTACACCTCAGATACGAGCTATATATATTCTAACGCTGTATGACAGTCACATGACATATATTATGGGGTAAAGTTAGCTTTAACATCGTTCTTTTATTGCAGATGTGTAGACAACTATTCCACAACAGCAAGGCCTGTAGACATTGCTGAAGCTTTTGCAGGTACATTTATGGTACATACTAATAGATACTAATTTATTATTATTGTCAGATTAGTAGCTCCTATTGTGTAGTAATAGATAGACCTACACTAATGCAAATTTAAGTTATCCCAGTCTGATCATGTTAATTGTAGTTATTAACTTATGTGAAAATTGATAAATACACATACATTTACAATGAAAACAAACAAAATTCTGAGATAATTTTGTAGCCATTGAGTCAGCGTGGCAAGGCAGTAGAGAGCAAGATTGCTTACCCGAAAGTCTCGAGTTGGAATCCCGGGCTGGAGTCTGTGGGACGTCTATTCGGTGAAATATCCGAAACTTAATTAGGGAAATTTAATGCGGTTCACTGTAGTAATTAAATACGGCTCGGTATAGTAATTAAATACGGCTCGGTATAGTAATTAAATACGGCTCGGTATAGTAATTGAATACGGCTCGGCGTAGTAATTAAATACGGCTCGGTATAGTAATTGAATACGGCTCGGCGTAGTAATTAAATACGGCTCGGTATAGTAATTAAATACGGCTCACGGTAGTAATTAAATACGGCTCGGTGTAGGTATTAAATACGTCTCGGTATAGTAATTAAATGCGGCTCGGTGTAGTAATTAAATGCGGCTCACTGTAGTAATTAAATACGGCTCGGTGTAGTAATTAAATACGGCTCGGCGTAGTAATTAAATATGGCTCACGGTAAGAATTAAATACGGCTCACGGTAAGAATTAAATACGGCTTGCCGTAGTAATTAAATACGGCTCGGCGTAGTAATTAAATACGGCTCACTGTAGTAATTAAATACAGCTCACTGTAGTAATTAAATACGGCTCACGGTAATAATTAAATACGGCTCGGTGTAGTAATTAAATACAGCATACGGTAGTAATTAAATGTGACTCACGGAAGTAATTAAATGCGGCTTGCCGTAGTAATTAAATACAGCTCCGTATAGTAATTAAATACGGCTCGGTGTAGTACTAACCACAATGTCCCATGACATACCAAAGTTACGGAAATGTGTTTTACTGAAACAGGAAAACCTTTTCGTTTTCCCTTTCGACAACCAACCCCTGCTATCTATATTTACTTTTACCTTACTCTAAGTAGCCCTTCTCGCGTTTTGTTACAGATACAACTCTTGCTGATGTCCTTAACGGCACGGGGTATGGTTCTGTTGAACACAACACAACACTGTCCAGCTTGCTAGCGGTCAACGAAGAGCCAGCGTTCACAGTCCAGGCTTTCTTCCTGATGCTGGCGGGTATGGGGTTGGTGTCGCTGCTGGCATTCGGGCTGCTCGTCTACCATCCCTACTGCTTGACCGAACACGTGGACACGGACAAGGAGGAGAACTGTCAGCTCATGAAATCTAAAACGTGAGACGGTTGTGGCTTTAATATGATAGTGGCAGAGGCGTGGTTGTGTCTTTAATATGGTAGTGGCAGAGGCGTAGCGAAGGGGTGGGTGGTGGGTACATATGTCCCGGGGCGCCAAAATGGGTTAGAAAAAATAATTAAAAGCTCATTTTAGCTGCAGTTTTGAATTATAAACATTAAAAAATATATTGGGGGGGGGGGGGCGCCAAATTGAAAGTTTGTCTCAGGGAGGGGTAGCTACGCCGCTGGAAAGTGGATTTCCAAGAAAAGAAGCTTTAAAATTCATTGTTTTGCTAAAAATTTAGGCATTCTCTAAATTTCTCTTGAAATAACAATTTACGCGAGGTTGAAGGATAAGATGGAAATAGGAAATTGAACAGTTTTAATTAAAATCTGTATATCAGAATTCTGATAAATTTACCAATTTTAAGTATTTAAGCATATTTACTTACGTTACTGCTAAATAAACAATACTTGCATTACTATTCAGCGCCCTAACAAGACGAAGGTAGAAGTACATACTGTTAATTAAGCCACATAAGTAATAATTTGGTTTAGGCGTTTTAGCTTACAGTTTGAGATTATTCAAATGATAATTAGATTTGAAAGCAGCTATATTAAAATACTAAATGGTACAACGCTGTATACATTAGCGCTATATTCATTTAATGTCTTTCTTTTGATTATCTATTTTATTTGATTGTTTTAGTCTCTTGATTTATTTAACTTAATTCTATTCTTAAAAAAAACGAATAAGGCTTCATCTTTAAATGTTGCATCTGTTTAATTAGGTAGTGCTACGTGATTTTTCATGTCTTTCTTTCGATCATTTACATTCTTTGACAGTTTTAGTCTCTTGATTTCCTTAACTTAATTCTCTTCCCCAAAATCCAATTAGGCTTCAAATGTTGCATCTGTTCAATTAGGTAGTGCTACATGATTTTTCATGTCTTTCTGTTGTTTATCTGCGTTTTAGTCACTTGATTTCCTGAACTTATTTTTGTTTCTTAAAAAAATGACTCCGTCTCTTTCTATCATCCGTAGTGCAAAACACAACGAAAGCAAACACGAATCAATGTCTT